CAGTGTGGCTTTAGGCCTGGAAAATCCACCATAGATCAGGTATTCACAATACGGCAAATCTTGGAAAATACAAGCGAGAATAGGATCCACACACACGATCTTTTTGTCGATTTCAAAGCCGCTTTCGACAGCACGAAGAGAAGTTTCCTTTATGCCGCGATGTCTGAATTTGGTATCCCCGCGAAACTAATACGGCTGTGTAAAATGACGTTGAGCAATACCACCAGCTCCGTCAGAATAGGGAAGGACCTCTCCGAGCCGTTTGATACCAAACGAGGTTTCAGACAAGGGGACTCCCTTTCGTGTGATTTCTTTAATCTTATGTTGGAGAAGATAATAAGAGCCGCAGAACTGAACCGCTCAGGCACAATACTTTACAAGAGCGTACGATTGCTGGCGTATGCCGACGACATCGATATTATCGGTAAAAACAAGGGCTACGTCTGCCTTCTCGGGATTGGATAGAGAAGCACAGCGAATGGGTCTGGGGGTGAACGAGGACAAAACGAAGTATCTCCTGTCANTTTCAGACAAGGAGACTCCCTTTCGTTTGATTTCTTTAATCTGATGTTGGAGAAGAGCCGCAGAACTGAACCGCTCAGGCACAATACTTTACAAGAGCGTACGATTGCTGGCGTATGCCGACGACATCGATATTATCGGTAAAAACAAGGGCTACGTCTGCCTTCTCGGGATTGGATAGAGAAGCACAGCGAATGGGTCTGGGGGTGAACGAGGACAAAACGAAGTATCTCCTGTCATCACACAAACAGTCAAGAGCATACGCGTCTTGACACCCACGTCACTGTTGACAATTACAAGTTTGAAAAAGTAGACGACTTCCTTTATTTGGAAACCAGCATTAACACCNATATAAGTCACTTATCATGCCTGAGCTGGTGTATGGCGCGGAGGCATGGACAATGAAAGCATCTGATGAGGCGGCTCTTGGAGTTTTCAGTAGAAAGATACTGCGAAAGATTTACGAACCTTTACGCGTTGGTGATGGCGGATATCGCAGACAATCTAACGATGAGCTGTATGAGCTTAAAATTCAGCGGCTCCGCTGGTTTGGCCATGTCGTTCGAAACGGTCCTGCTCTGAAAATATTCAACGCGGGCCGCAATTCTGGTAACAGAGGAAGAGGAAGGCCTCCTCTGCGTTGGAAAGACCAGGTGGAGAAGGACTTGGCTACACTTGGCATTTCCAATTGGCGTCAGTTAGCACAGAAGAGAAATGACTGGCGTGCTATTTTTACTCGGCCAAAATCGCTTAGGCGGTTACAGCGCCAATAAAGAAGAAGTCTCTGGCCCTTTGAGAGCCAAATTATAACGATTCCGTAGGTAAACTTCGAAATTTGATTCGACATTTCACGCAATTTTTTTCTAATTTCGGAGTAAAAACTATTACAGCAGTTTTGAACAATATTAAATGTTATAACTTGGCTCTCAGAGGACCTGGGGACTTCTACCTTGGCTCAAATTAAGGGTCTTGAATTGCACTTGCTATTCGAGGGATATAAAATTGTGTAAAGGATGCACAGCTGCATGCAAATAAAAAAATGCAATAAATAATCAGCCTTATTCTGCATTTCGATTCCGTTCCCGCATTCTGCTCCGCAACGATCGTAATTTGGTATTCTAAGTTACGATCGAATCGAAAGAAGAGGAAGAGCGAAGACATCTTCGAAATCAGCTGGTTGCCTAGGAATGTGTGAAGTCGAAACAAAACAAAAGAAATATTTGCCACCNATCTGCATTTCGATTCCGTTCCCGCATTCTGCTCCGCAACGATCGTAATTTGGTATTCTGAGTTACGATCGAATCGAAAGAAGAGGAAGAGCGAAATCAGCTGGATGCCTAGGAATGTGTGAAGTCGAAACAAAACAAAAGAAATATTTGCCACCAAACCATACCAGCTTATGAAGTTAAAGTTTGTAAATAATTTAAAATAACTAAATATATCTAGCATCACTGTAATTTAAAAATAAAGTTTCGTTTGCTCTTAATTTAGTGGAAACATAATTATAAGAATTAGAGAACGAGTCCCAGATTGCTGATGCGGAAGTTTAAAAGCGGAGATTTAGGGACATGTTTGATATTTTTCAGATGAGTGAATAGTCATAAATTCATCATGAACTGTATTACTCACTATTACTGTTATAAACCTTGTTTGAGCACTCCCCAACATTTGCATTTAGTACAGAGTGGAAGACTTGGACGCAAATGAATTCGATTTTGAAAGCCGTCAGCCGTATGCATGTATGTACATACTTCTATTAATTTTATATAAAAAGAATGAATTTTATTGAGTGCATTTCGGTCTTATTTATAGGTAATGAAAACAAAAACGCCTGAACTTCCTCTTTGAAAACCCCGCTCAATATCCCTTTTTTGTTGCCATTATTTGAGCCAACTTTTCGTATTGCCCGTATTGCTGGTCGCGAAAACACAGAAATCAAGAAAGTACATTTATGATGACTTTTACAATCATGCACAGTATATTTTACTTAATTTTTCAATAAAATTTTAATATTAAAACCCACGAAAATAGCAATCGAAACGTTCTTCGTCAACAAATTTGCATCTTAGAAAAACGTAACTACGATCGAAATGTAGAATTGGTATAATCGTAAATTTCGAAAATTGATCGAAACGAAACGTAACGCAGAATACCAAAGTTGCCAAACGGAGAGAATTTCGATTCGAGTTGAAATGCAGAATAGGACTGATTGGTACGGATAGAGCTGGTAGTTTGAAGCGTGACCGAAGGCCGCTAACTCAAAAAGGAGTTGTGCGCGTCAAAATAATGCGTATGGCAAACCCGAAGTTTTGAAAACTTAAATCATAATTATTTTAATTATTGGTACTCGAAATAGTTTTTAAGAAAGGTTGTTAGTTTTTATGATTCAAAGGTACCGCCAGAGGTTAACATCGTAAATAATGTTCGGAACGTATTTTCTACAGATCACTTTTGAAATATTAAAAAAAAAAAAAATTAATTTGCGTTCCCGGTTTTGTAATGCTGGGGTTTTAAATTGCGTCTATTTGATACCGCTTTTGACGAAATAATTTGATGATTACCAATCATTTTCCAAAGTTTCGGTAAACTGTGGAAAATTACCGTAACAATGTTAACACACGGCGAGAGTTTCTTTGTTCACATTCCGAACATTCGGTTATATTTTTCTGTTCCCATATTCATTAAAACGTTGTTCCCGGATAATATGGGGCCGGATAACGCATTCTTTTCATTTCGTCTCTATTACGGAATTCCTAGAATATTGCTTTCAAATAATGGCGCTAGAGAAACCAAGTAAGTTTTTGCAAATTGTTTTGCGAAAAAATTTAATTTAATATTAATAAGCTGAGACCCGATAATTATATTCTCTTCTGTTCCTTTATAACTATTGTTCCCGATAAACTAAACTATTATTCTCTTCTATATCCCCGACTGAATAATAAAGAAGAAACACGCCCACGGTTAATTAATAGAAAAAATGTGTGATCCACAAACAAGTGCGGCCAGACATGAATTTTTAGTTCAAGCGGTTGTAATTTCATTTATGACTTTATTACTCATTTGTATAATTTTAAATGTGACTTTATTTCTTTTCTGGATTGACAATGTGAGCATGGAAATAATACCATATGGCTTTATTGCGTATGGTGTTATTGCACCCCACCGAATACAGCGAGAACCTGAGGCGCTGGAGGAAATCTGATGCCGTACTGTGTGTACTTTTGTCCAATATTGTGGGCCTGTGCAATCAAGACTTAGCTGTAAACAAGCAGCAGACGCATTTGAATAAATGTATAAGTTTAAATTATTTAGGGGAGCTTCCTGACTGCCTGTTAAAGTTAACGGGTGCTTTGACTGCCCGCCAAATTTGTCCCTCACAGGGAGTCAGTAACGTCGATAACGATGTTTACCGGAAAGATAAATTTAACACGCAATCGATAAAACAGCCATTAGCATTCTAATAAATTTTAATATGAATTGAAAGTTGCAGTAAAACATATTTGATAAGAACCTTGAACAAATACCTTGGAAGTATTATTTTCATTACTTAAAGTATCAGTTTTAGAAAAACATTTTCAAAGGGCCTTCTAAAGTATATCCTACAAGAGCCCTTCCGTAGGAATCCGCTGGAATGTTTTTAACCATCGGCAACATAAAAGACTTGAATAAAAAATAGCAAAAATTAAACTACAACATTTGCTGCGATTTATTTCAACGCATTTCAAATTAAAGTTTATTCAATACATAACAGAACATAAAGCAACTCATATTCGCTATAAAGCTTACCTTTTAGGTAAAAAACATAAACAATATACGTGACACGAACTATTTAAAATGAATATGCAGGCAATTCCAATGCTAATTTTAATACATGATCCTACAAGTTTTACTTGTACCGCTTCTTGTGGCTTCCAAAAGATTTTCCGTAGTTTGATGAACGTCCCTCATCATTTCGTTCCGGTCGTGAGTAATTTATATGGGGTTGTTCATAATCATTGCCCGAATCAGGACTCAGTGGGAGTTTTGATGGCGTAAATGAATTAATATCTTCATCCAAATCCCAGCACTCCTCATCAGTGTCCGGGCAACGGGCTTGCTTTTTCACCGGAGAAACCGAAGAACGAGCTGGAGGAGTACTGCACGTATATGGCACCTTCAGTCCGCAGTGACGTCGAGGTACTGATGGGGGAAATGGTGCTGCACGAGAGTGCTTGGGTGGGGGTCGTGGCGTAGGGGGTTGGGTCATTTGTACCGGCTTATCCATTGTCATTTGCGGCGAATCAATATAGCAGCTAATGAAGGGTGCTGGTGCTGGTTGTTGGAGAGCTGGGGGTGTTGCGAAGTTTGACCTTGGCGAAGTAAAGGATCGCATTTGCTGGTGTTGAACTGTTACTGAAGATGGCTCCACCGGTTGAATAAAACTGTATGTTGCATTTACAACCGAAGAACAGCCGTACGAACGCCCTGAAAAGGTAGATAAATTCTTCTTCTCTGATATTACGCCATTTACGTCAACAAAAAGTCCAAGATTTTCCAAAATTTCCAATAGTTCGCCAGCGCAATATAGTTTAAAAATATCAAAAACAGCGTAGGGATCCTCCAGACGAATTTTCTGAAAATTATTGATGGCGCGCACCAGCACCGAAATTGTTTGATTTATCTGTATCTTCATTGTAGACATAAGCGACTGGTACCAAGGAGAGCGTTGTAAACAGCCATAAAGAAGCATATTGGGCGTTTGCTGAGAAGGTTCTTGCGGACGTTGGTTTAAATATGATTCCGAATTATAAATGCTACTCGGACGGCGTGGATCACTTTGAGCAATTTTAGTGGACAGACAAAGTGACGAAGAAGCATGTAGCGCGTTGGTGTTCTATGAAAATGAACAAAATTTTTTGTTTAATTGTTGCAGTATGATATAAGCAAATAGAACAAGTAAATTTAAGATATGTATTTTAAAATCAATATAAGATTTAATTTTAATTGTGAATTTTAATTATTTTAACTAATATTCTTGGTATGCAATTCTTTTATATAAAATAGAGCAAATGACGGCCGCTGTGATGTAGTGGATAGAAGTGCGCACTACCATTCCGTAGGGCCTGGGTCGAGCCCGATTTCCGACTAACATCAAAAACCAAAGAAATGTTATTCCTAACCCCCGAGTTCTGTCTTTAAAAACAGCTTCAAATAAAAATACAATCGCCGTTCGGGTAGGCGTTAAACAGTAGGTTAGAGTAGGTCCAAGAAATCCTTTTTTTTAATATTATTCAGTGTTCGCGCAAATTTGTGTTTCTTTTGCTAAAAATTAATGTACATAACTTGGTTTTACAAAAATAATAAAATTTAGAGGTCGCTCAGTCCATTTTTATTTTACTTAAAATTACTCGTCCTTAAATCCGTGAGCCCGCGAAATCCCCCAGGAAATTTAAGGTTTGTAAGATCTTACAATATGTTTTCGAGACCGCTGAATATACTAAGAAAGTTAAGAGCTCTTACCTTTTTAGATATTATGAAAAAATATTAAAAAAAACGAAAAAAATTCCGAAATTTCACTTTAAAAGTTTAATCAACTTAGAAAAAATTGTATTGATTCTATGTCCTCTTCTTTTTCTCTTCTTTATTGGCGCTGTAACCGCCTAAGTGATTTTGGCCGAGTGCAATACAGCACGCCAGTCATTTCTCTTCTGCGCTAACTGACGCCAATTGGAAATGCCAAGTGAAGCCAAGTCCTTCTCCACCTGGTCTTTCCAATGCAGAGGAGGCTTTCCTCTTCATCTGTTACCAGTATCGCGGCCCGCGTTGAATATTTTCAGAGCAAGAGCGTTTCTTTCCATTCGAACGACATGGCCAAGCCAGCGGAGCCGCTGAATTTTAATTCGCTGCACTATGTCTATATCGTTGAAAAGCTCATACAGCTTATCGTTAAATCGTCTGCGGTATTCGCCATCACCAACGCGTAAAGGTCCGTAAGTCTATCGCAGAATCTTTCTCTCGAAAACTCCAAGAACCGCTTCATCAGATGTTTTCATTGTCGATGCCTCCGCGCCATACACCAGCACAGGCATGATGAGTGACTTATAGAGTGTGATCTTTNTGTGATCTTTGTACGACGAGAGAGGACTTTACTTCTCAATTGCCTACTCAGTCCAAAGTAGCACTTGTTGGCAAGAGTGATTCTCCGTTGGATTTGAAGGCTAACATTATTATTGGTGTTAATGCTGGTTCCCAAACAAACGAAGTCATCTACTTTTTCAAAGTTGTAATTGTCAACAGTGACGTGGGTGCCAAGACGCGTGTGCTCTGACTGTTTATGTGATGACAGATACCTCGTTTTGCCCTCGTTCACCGCCAGACCCATTCGTTTTGCTTCACTATCCAATCCCAAGGCAGAACAGACGTAGCCCTTGTCTTTACCGATAACATCGGTGTCGTCGGCATACGCCAGCAATTGTACGCTCTTGTAAAGTATTCAGGGCTATCACGGAATCCATCTTAGAAAATCTACGAATTCATATGCCCGCTACGAATACGAAAAAATTGCTATCACTGAATCCGAGTGAACTCGAAAATATCGTTGCCAGCTTTGAATGCTGATTCGAAATCAGTTAGTGCAAAGGAACAACAGACATTTATGTATGTCATTTTGCTCACGGTGCCCCATTTTATGCAATGGCCGAATGTGCAAAGCACTAGACTGCCAATTGAGAGAGCCGACTTCGAGTCCGAGTCGTGGGGTAGTGGAAATTTTTTTCTTTTTTTATTTAATTTTTGTCTATTTTTTTTAATAAATATTTTTTTTAATAAATATTTTTTTTAGTTTATTTTTAGCTTAGATTTTATTATTTTAAATGAAAAATATTTATTTTTTTTAAAATAAATTTTTATGATATTAAAGTACACATAGGTCTCTTTTTATGCGGTACATGCGTTCCTCAGAAAGCCGCATAANCACACCAGACCCATTCGTTTTGCTTCACTATCCAATCCCAAGAAGGCAGAACAGACGTAGCCCTTGTCTTTACCGATAACATCGGTGTCGTCGGCATACGCCAGCAATTGTACGCTCTTGTAAAGTATTCAGGGCTATCACGGAATCCTTCTTAGAAAATCTACGAATTCATATGCCCGCTACGAATACGAAAAAATTGCTATCACTGAATCCGAGTGAACTCGAAAATATCGTTGCCAGCTTTGAATGCTGATTCGAAATCAGTTAGTGCAAAGGAACAACAGACATTTATGTATGTCATTTTGCTCACGGTGCCCCATTTTATGCAATGGCCGAATGTGCAAAGCACTAGACTGCCAATTGAGAGAGCCGACTTCGAGTCCGAGTCGTGGGGTAGTGGAAATTTTTTTCTTTTTTTATTTAATTTTTGTCTATTTTTTTTAATAAATATTTTTTTTAATAAATATTTTTTTTAGTTTATTTTTAGCTTAGATTTTATTATTTTAAATGAAAAATATTTATTTTTTTTAAAATAAATTTTTATGATATTAAAGTACACATAGGTCTCTTTTTATGCGGTACATGCGTTCCTCAGAAAGCCGCATAAAAAAAATCCGCATAAAAAAGTTCTTTACTTTCATACAAAAACAGGGGATGCGTTCCAGCATTTTCAAAAACCGCATAAATTCAGGTACTCCATGTCAAAAATTCTAAAAAANTCATTACGAACGGATTCAATGAAGGCTCTCTACGAATTTCGAATTTACGTTCGTAGCCATTCGGATTCTGTGATAGCACTTTCGTAGATTTCATGAAAATCGAAGCTACGATGGATTCTGTGATAGCCCCGATTGTGCTTGAGCGGTTCAGTTCTGCGGCTCGTATTATCTTCTCCAACATCAGATTAAAGAAATCACACGAGAGGCAGTCACCTTGTCTGAAAGCTCGTTTGGTATCAAACGGCTTGGTCGGTTTGGTTTCTCGTTGTTCGATCTGGAGACAGCCAGGTAGCTTGGTGGATGTTCTTATGCTGGAACCAAGTACTACATATTACCATGTTTCGGGCCCCGGCGAAGTCGATCAGCCTCAGTCCGTTATCGGACGTTCCGTCGTGGAGGCTGAATTTTCCGACAGTGGCACCAAAGGTTCCTCCGGTGCCCACCTTGGCAATAAAATCGCCGAGCACGATTTTAACATCGTGTCGGGGGCAGCGCTCATATGTACGCTCTAAGCGCTCATAGAAGAGATACTTCGACGCCTCGTCCTCGTACAGCCGTATTAGTTTCGCGGGGATACCAAATTCAGACATCGCGGCATAGAGGCAACTTCTCTTCACAGAGCACACTTAAATTCCAGTCGTCGGGCATGCGTTCATCTGACCATATTCTGCATACGAGCTGATGCATGCACCTCATCAGCTCCTCGCCGCCGTACTTGAATAGCTCGGCTGGCCGGCCGTCAGCTCCAGCAACTTTGTTGATTTTCAGCCGCGTAATCGCTGTTCGTACCACGTCATAGTCAGGCGGTGGGACAGCTACTCCATCATCATCGACTGGGGACTTGGGTTCGTCTTCTTCACTATTTTCAGCGCTGCCACCATTCAGTAGGTAGTAAAAGTGTTCCCTCCACAACTTAAGTATATTCTGGACATCGGTCACTAGTTCGCCATTGTTGTTCTTACAGGAGTTCGCCCCGGTATTGAAACCTTCCGTAAGTCGCCTAACCCTCTGGTAAAATTTTCGGGCGTTCTTCCTGTCGGCCAGCATCTCAAGCATTTGGTTTCTCGATCTGGAGACAGCCATGTAGCTTGGTGGATGTTCTTATGCTGGAACCTAGTACTACATATTACCATATTTCGGGCCCCGGCGAAGTCGNCTCATTGCGTAAGTCGTAAATTAGGCTAAATTGTACGACTCGACAACAGCAGTATTGTCTATTGTCGTACTGAAATAAGTAAACGACCAAAATCGTCGAAAACTATACAGTGCTGCCAAGTTTTTCCGTTTTAATACACTAGTCGAGTGGAAATTTTAGGCAAGAACGTGCAATTTTCGATACGATTCGACTCTCGGAAAACGACTTGCATTCGGCACGACTCTCGCAATGAGAGCGGATTTTATGGAAATTGCTTTTTTTCTGCTAAAGAGATAGACTATATTCGATTAAGAATGTCCACGATTTAGCTTTCCCTGATTCCATATATACACATTTGATGTTGCCTTTTTTGCCTTTTTCAAGATATTTTCCTTTTTTTGCCTTTTCTACCTTTAAAAAAGTGATTATAGCATTTACAATTTTTGTTTAAAGAATACAAAATATACACATGCCCATGCGGCTTAGGCCGTGGTTACGCCACCAATTTCGATTGGCAATCACCGTGCAATTGTTATTGTGCACAGCACGGAGTGAGAGAATTTTCGAAATCGAACAGCCAGCACGATTTGCTGGGTGAACCGAACAGCCAGCACGCCAAATTTTCAGGGTGGCAATACGCTATTTTGCGAAAAAGTATTAGTATTAAATATTAGAATAGCGAAAAATATTTTTTTATTATTATTATAAAGTAGATATTAAAAAAAAATATTATAAAAATTAANGTACAAAAATTAAATATTATAGAAAGAAAAAATATTAAGTTGTTCTTCCATTTTTCATTTTCCGACTTCAATTTTGATGTATTTTTAGTTGCGTTTTTACTTCAGTGCTGCCATTGTATGCGAAATTGTGCCATAACCACGGCCTTATAGAGGCGCAGGGTCCTCTTGCCAAATTGGTGTTGGAAAAATTCAAAGCCGTTTGTACTAAACGTGCGCTCGACGCATGTTGATACAAGTGGAGCCCAATTTAAATATGGAATGTTTGAAACGTTCATATTATCAGGAATAAGGGCGTTTTCCTCGCCCTTTCCAATTTTATCCACA